GTAATACAGAATTACAACATGCACACCACTTTAGTGCTCAACATTCCTGAGGGAATTACAGCTACTTTATGTTCACATGCAACTCCAAAGAAGAGTTATGAGGAGGGCTCTGAGACTCCAAAACACGATATGCAGGAAAATGGCCTTAGGGTGAAAGGGGTAAAGATGCAGAGGGAGACCTGGGCTAAATAAAAAGGTGGTGTGTTTTGTAAAGAGGACAAGATAAAGTCCTGAGAATACTTTTTAATCAATTACTGTATGGAATTTGTGTTAAAATATTTATTTGTGGATGAATACTAATGTTTAATCAATATATTACTTTCTGTAATAATTTTGATTGTTAAAATCAAAGCCAAAGCTCTGAACACTACAAATAAATCTCTATATGTACAATAAAGTGAGTCAGACGTAGAGGAGAGCAAAGATGAATGGAAGCCCAGATCCTGAATTGAAGGTCATAAAATCTGTTAAGGAACAGAAAAGAGGGCCTGGAGAGATGACTTGGTAGTTAAGAGCACTGGCTGCTCGTCCTGAAGACCAGGGTTCAATTCCCAAGACCAATGTGACAGACGCCAATCATCTGTAATTCTAGTTCCAGGGAATCTGACACCCTCTTGCAGCCCCCACAGGCACCAGGGATGCAAGTGGTACACAGATACATAAGCAGGCTAAGCACCCATATGCATAAAATAATACTTTTAAAAGAGAAAAGATGCTTGGAAATAACGACAAGGACCCAAAAGAGAATAACAGGATTCATTTTTCCTGAGTGCCTACCATGTGCAGGTACCACATTTCACACACAATACTTGAACTTTTACAGCATGTATAAGAAAGGCCATTGCCTTACCTGTCAGGATAGTGTTACCCAGAGTGAAGGAGTAATTCATCCAGAAGGCTAGGGCTTAAAGAAACATAGTCTGGATTGGACTTGCAACCTGTCTGATCGCAAGTCCACTCTCTCTCCTTTCAGCATGATGTAATATAATAAACCACACAGATAACCTTCTGTGGGAATCTGGGAAAGCAAGACCATCCCTTCACTAAAGGAGAGGAGAAACATTGAAGCAGCAGCACTACAATGTGACAGATGACTGTGTTAGGACGTGTGGACACGAGGCGTAAGAGGAAGCAGCCCCAATGAAAGGAGAAAGCAACACTTAGAAGAGAAAATGTAGATGGTTCAGTATGGTTTGAATGAGGTACAGAGTCCATAAAGAACTTCAATAAAAATCAATGGAAGGTGAGACAACAGACCCAAACCAGGGCATTCTGTCATGCTCTAGACAGAGAACACATCAAGATTCAAAGGTTTGGCACCAGGAAATGGACATTATTGAAACCATGGTAGAAGATTTTATTTGGTCAACATAGGTGATAGGTACCCTTTGATTTCTCTCTATTTAACCCTCGATTCCTCCATTTGGCAGGGAAAAGACAAGCATTCACCCTGCTGACTTGCCTCCCTAGAGCATCCATGTGGAGAATGGCAATGGGGATGCTGGGAGAGATGCAGGAGACAGCCAGAATCCTGCCAGCTGTTCTGTGAGTTAAAGTGATTTAGTCATCCCACCTGACATGCGCAGTGCCATCACAGTTCAGGGTTATAGTCCTGACTGTGACTCTAGGCAGGAGGAAGAGATGGAGGGAGACCTGGGACAAGGAAAGCAACCTAGAAAGGGAATGGGGGTGGGAGTCAGCAAA